TTTTCCAGACAATGTCTACTTGTGAACCTCAAAAGGATACTTCGGCACAGAACAATGCCCTTTCGTGTCCGCTAGAAGATTCAGAGCACTCAACAACAGCCACAGAAAGGCCCTTTGCATGACCTCAATTCACTGACACACGCGTCTGGTGTTGATAGATGCTATTATTTCTTCCTGAAGGAAGACTCACAAATTGAGATACAATATTGAGTATCCTTACAATTATTTGTGCTATCTTCATGTACAAGACCACAGTGCATTATTAATCATTTTACTCATACATGTATTCTGTGTGTGCTTTTCCTAAAAGTTTACACTCATTTCAAGAGTTGTAAATATCAGGGGCATCATCCACCTATTTTTTAAGGGGCACCATGGCAGTCCAAGATCACTTGGAGCTGCAGATGAGATAACACATGACCAAAGAAAAGAACACTTTTTAATAACTTAGTAGTTAAACTGCAAAGATGTGTTAGTCTACTGGAGTTAGTCGTATAGATTTTGTGTCGTTTGTAAGGGAAGCTAGGTTCAAAGCCCAAACCATATACAGAGAATTTATAAGTTGTAACACATATCTATTCTAAGACATACATACAAATATATTTTAAATAAAACGAATAAATAAATGTATTTATTAATTATATATTTATACATTTAATTCATATAAATTGATTATATATTCAAATGTTTATTATTTTATTATGATACTGACAACAGTGATCAACTGATGCTATCATAAAAATAAAACAAACAATAAATAAAACTTTACTTACTTTATTTTTATGAGGACATCCCCAAAAGGATAATGACAATATTTACAGTTGAAATAAATTAATAGATGATTTCAGCAACAATGTAATTTTTTACAGTAAAATGTACAGTTTTTAAAGTTAAAAAGAACAAGTTATCTATAATTTGCAGTCCTTCATGTCAAACCTTCATGTCTGTGGTTTGAAAATAGTCTAGTGTATTCCAGGCCTTTCTCATCACCACCTGCGTTTTTTTGGTGGTTGTCAGAGTATAAAGCTTCAACAGATTTTAGTATTTCAGTATATAGTAACATTATACCAGTTACTGAAATTCAGGTTTTTATTGTAAATTTAAGTTCAATCTATAAAACCCAAAGCAACCATATTCTTTACAGTGAAGTTCTGGTACACACAGCTGGTGATTGTTACCGTAAATTTTCCTTTCTTTTTTTTTTTGTGTGTGTACAGTACTTTAGACAAATGCTTTTTACCCACAACAACTTTTCTTTTTTTTGTGGCCATGAGTCATGATGGGGCCATTTGAATGGGTCTGACACTCTCAGTAAATATTGACGGTTCCCCTTAGGGCTCAGTCAGAGGCTGTCATAATGTGTGGGTCTGACACATCCTCATCTCCTATTCACTGTGCAACACTCTCATTTACCTAGCATCTGTGTTTCCAGCCCAGATAATAATTAGCTTAACTTTTGTTTTAGCTGACAAACACTAATCAGCCAAGGCAAGAGGTTAGAGATTAGAAAACAAGGCTTTTTTTGCTATCTAAAATCAAAGTAATGAACAACTAAAGTTTGCCTCAAAATTCAGATTTTCAATGTCCATTTATGGGTAGTATTGTCTGATCTGTGGCTTTTATGCAGCCTTTGCAGATAAAAGTGCCATAGCTAATGATGGGCTACTGTTGGCCCTTTAATATGAGCCTGGAGGTTGTGATCAAACAGACCATGATGAAAGTGGCTTGCCGCTATCTTGTTGGACAGAGATTCAAGATTAACTATAGCAGGCTCATGGCAGTTCACCTTAATCTTTTGGATTCTGGGCCGCTTCATTGATATAATGCCATACAGAGTGTTATCAAAGGATAATGTGAAGTGTCCTTGTAAAAGGGCCGTAATTGTCCGCTTAAGAGCCAATGTCATTTTGACTGTTTAAGCTTTGTTGGGACTAACACAACTGTCTCGCTCCTCATCCCCATTCAAAGCAGACACACTTGGGTTTATTTAATGAGTGCCTAGAAAGTCACTTTAAGTTAAGAGTTTCATTGTAGGGTGTGACCAAAGGGGCATGGCAGACACATTATGATAATACATTCACAAGAGCCCAAGCAGCAGCTATATTTGAAATTCAGCATGTGCGAGGCGTCGGTTGATGTCAGCTTCCTTAGTGTGGTTTCAAAAGACCTCTGAAAAAGCTCTAGCAACAAGTGCAACTGACACCGCAAACAGGGAATGCTCTCAGAACTTTGGCTAATGTTCTGGCAAGGTTCTCTCAAAGTTTCTTTAAAACATTCTTCCAGTAACTTTAATAGAATGTTTGTTCAAAGTGATCTGTGCTGCGTCATAATATGTCTACTTCCATACTAAATAGTATGGAAGTAGAAAAAAGTACGTGAAAAGAAAAGTATGTCCAAATTCATAGTATTCGAAACATTGGGTGAAAAGTACCAGATGACCTACTACTTATGCTGAAATTTCGAAGTGTATTTTTGATGGACACTTTATTATCCCATGAGGCCAAAGGAGGAGATTTCAGAAGGAGCTTTATTACCAAGTATGTTTACACACACAAGGAATTTGACTTGGCGACAGGAGCTTCCAGTGCAGAAGAAAGTACACACATATAGTGCAAGCATACATGATAGTGTAGACATACATAGAATTACACAGTGAAGATGAAATAACACTAATATAAGAAAAACAGAAAAATAAATAATGCACTATACAGAAATAGAAATCTAGAGAAAAAAAACATAATTGTTCAAATGAATGTACAGATATGTTATTTACAAGTGTACCGTTTATGTAGTTTACAATATACAATTTCCAGATATTATGTTTAAAAGGGTCAGTTATGATGGACATTGTGTTGTTATGAACTTTTTAATTGTTCAGGCTGAATATGGCCTATGGGGAAAAAAAAATGTTCTTATGCTTGGCTGATTTGGTGGCTGAGCCAAACCAAACAGTTATAGATGAACACAGGACGGACTCAATGATGGCCAAGTAGAACTGTGTGAGCAGCTCCTGTGGCAGGTTGAATTTCCTCAGCTGGCGAAGGAAGTACAACCCCTGCTGGGCCTTTTTTGCAATGGAGTCTATGTGAATGTCCCACTTCAGGTCCTGAGAGATGGTGGTGCCAGTGCTGATCGTGAGAGTCCTGGATATGAGTTTTCCCAGCCTCACTAGCTGCTGCCTGTCTGTCAGAAAGCTGGTGATCCACTGACAGATTGGGGTGGGCATGGAGAGCTGGGTCAGTTTGGCTGAGAGAAGGTCAGGCATGATGGTATTGAAGACCGAACTGAAGTCCACAAACAAGATCCTTGCGTAAGTCCCAGGTCTGTCGAGGTGTTGCAGGATGTAATGCAGTCCCATGTTGACTGCATCATCCACCGACCTGTTTGCTCGGTAAGCAAACTGAAGAGGATCCAGCAAGGGTCCAGTGATGTCCTTCAGGTAGACCAAGACCAGTCTCTCAAATGACTTCATGACCACAGACGTGAGAGCGACAGGTCTGTAGTCGTTAAAGGGATAGTTCACCCAAAAATGAAAATTTGATGTTTATCTGCTTACCCCCAGGTCATCCAAGACAAACATACATTTTTTACAATTACTCAATAAGTGTTTGGGGTTATACCAACTAAGTCATGTGAATTACTTATGGATTTACTTGTGGATTATTGTGATGTTTTTATCAGCTGTTTGGATTCTCATTCTGACGGCACCCATACACTGCAGGTGATCAAGTGATTGCTAAAATTCTCCAAATTTGTTCTGATGAAGAAACAAACTCATCTACACCTTGAGTTGCCTGAGGGTGAGTAAATCTTAAGCAAATGTTCCTTTTGATGAACTATTCGTTTAAGAACAAAACTTGATGTGAATGGAACAAATAAAAGGAAAAATATCCAGAGGACTTTTTTTCCACCTCAAGGACCTTTTGTATTTCACTGTTTTATTCACTGCAAATTCAGGGTATGCAATGACCTGCTGACAAGTTAATATTGTGTCATCTGCATTGGGTCTGGTCATTCTACTGTACATCTAAAGTAGATGTTTGAGAATAAAAGATGGTCACTACAATGTTCTCCTTGAATTCAGCAATGCAGTCAAAACTAATGTCAGTATCTCAGTATTCATATGGCTGCAAGCTCTGTGATGGCTCAAACTGTGATGTCTCACAAGACTAATGGCAGAGGCTGAAGAAGAAAGTCTTTGGTGACAGGCTGTTAGTGGGAGATAAAAGACTGATATAGACACTCAGGCAGCTAGATCATTTCATGGCTCTTTAACCACCAGGACAAAAATCAGACGACTATATATAAGGCTCTGTGAAATGAAGGACAGACTGTAAAAGAGACAAAAGATGCAGACAGAATGGGAACGGGACAGACAGCGTACCAGGAACAGATTGACTGGCGAACAGAGAGATGAGGAGAGTTTTCTGGCTGTAATGAACAAAAATCAGCAGCTGCCTGGAAAACCGTGGTCATATTTCTTTTCAGTCCATCTGTTTCTCATCTGCTCATCGCTGTTTAAAACTTGTGCATAATGTTGTTTCACGGAGCCCACACACCGTATTCACAGTGCTACTCGTCTACAAATTTTCCAATGTTTTTCCTCAAATGATTTTACACATTTCCTTTAAACTATATGGGTCAGTGCTCTCTAAACAATTAACATATTCTGAACGCTACACAGTTTTCATAAACGGTTTGCACATGTTTTGTATTGTAGGCCAACCTTTTTAGGCCTAAACTTTATGTATTTGAATTGCATATAAAATTTACATCCATTTTGGATTACACAGTTTTAACATAAACTAATAAACTTAATGTGATACATATTTCACAGTCATACATAAAACGGGAAAGATTTATGTAATAGTACTAATGTTTTAAAATACAGAATAAATAGGTTTATATATTTATCATCTGTAAATCTAATTTCTTTCAATCTCATATATGAACTAATTGAATATTACTTGTTCAACAGCCATATTTTAATCAAATAAAATATGTGTGGAGTGAGAAAAAGAGGAGTGTGTAGTGAAAAAGGAGGAAGAGGAGAAGAAGAAGAAGAAGAAGAAGAGGAGAAGGAATATGAGAAAGATGTGAAGAAAAATGGTAAATGGGAACTGAGAGGCTTGACGAAAAACACATGGAAAAATATATTAAACATTATTACATTATTATTATTATTATTGTTGTTGTTAATACAAAATATTGTTACAATAAAATAACTATTTTATTTGAATATATTTCAAAATGTAATTTATTCCTGTAATGCAAAGCTGAATTCTCAGCAACCATTGCTTCAGTATTCAGTGTCACATGATCCGTCAGAAATCTGAAATTTTAGTATTAATATTGCGGAAAACATGATACATTTCTTCAGTATTCTTTTGACTTTTAATCAATTTAATGCATCCTTGTTAAATAAAAGTGTCTATCCATCCATCCATCATCTATCTATCTATCTATCTATCTATC